CTCATCATTCCATCCCAGCTCTTCCAAATACTAATTCCCTTTCATTCCAATTCTTCCAAATACTAATTCCCTTTCAACCCAACCCTTCCAAATACTAATTCCCTTTCATTCCAGTTCTTCCAAATACTAATTCCCTTTCATTCCAATTCTTCCAAATACTAATTCCCTTTCATCCCAATTCTTCCAAATATTACTAATTCCCTTTCATCTCAATTCTTCCAAATACTAATTCCCTTTCATTCCAATTCTTCCAAATCAAATTCCCTTTCATCATCAGGTCATCCCCACTATTAGGGGGATGTGATCTCCAAAACCTCCAATCTCAGACCTTGTTGACCTTGTTGACCTTCTAGGGGGGGGGGCCCGTTGATTAATACGATGTCGACATTATGGTTCGGTATGTTTCGCTACTCTTGGACCCTCCATGATTCTAATGTACAAGTGTTGAACACATCACCGCAGAAGGTCGAGGTCGAGGGGTGAAATCCTCCGTTCCAGGGAGACAGGGATGTCTCCCGTCCGCCAAAAGACCATCAAAAAAAAACGTCCGTCACAGGTTCTCTCGGTTCTGACCTATGACCAACAAAAAGAACCACCTAGAACAGATGATCTGGAGAGCCTTCACTGAGTTGAACATATGAGTACCCTACCAAAAAAACAACTAGAAGTATCCCCCTTACTACTCCCAGTGGTCTGCCGTTTTGCATTTCATAGTAAAAGTGCTTTATAACATGACACATGCCAATAAATTTACTATAAAATGAGAAACCAACCTTTTTACATATCTTGAAAAAATATGAATACACAACATCACAGCAAACTGCTACAATGGCCAGATTGTCAAGAGACATGGATTTTGATATGAAATGACTTGAAGCAAATGTGAGATTTCAAAGCAGGTCTGAACCAATCTCATAAGGTTTTTGTGGGACAAAACGTTTAAGATTAAAGTACGAAATTAAAACAATCAACCTTTTCTGGAACATCCTTTTTTGGGCTTCTAGCGGTCAAAATGATCTTTATGAAATGAGGGTCGGATTCATCATTTTATAAGAGAAAAGGTTCTGCATTTTACAGAGGGACAAGTGAGGGGGATCTAGAAGTAAACAGTCTTCGGCTGGACATCGTGTCTTGAAAAAGTGATTTGACTGCAACACCGATAGGAGCCTCTCACATGGGTGATGGCATTGGTTTGTATGTTTGAGAAGGTAGTGCCTTTGCATTTCTTGGGGACTTGAGTGGGGCTTCACCGATACTCCCTACCGACACCCGACCGATACTCTTCAGTTCTGGTCGCCCGGGTAGGCAACCCCCACTTGAACGCCAGCCTTCTTAACACAAATACGTGTACGTGTTGGTGACACCTCTCAGGGCAAACTCGCCTCGTACAGAAAGCCAACAACAAGTGGAACGGAACTCCATCAAAAGGCGCAACTGCCATCATCATTAGTTCAACTAGCTGCACAACCCTCTGTAGGATGTATGGATGCGTCATCCACAAGTAGATGGTACCCAAGAGTTTTCCAGCCAATTACAGGACCAACTTGATAGCCAAAACCAGGGGATACCGAGGGGCAGGGGGTAATCACAAACAACAAAGGATCCAACATATCATTCCAGCCATCCCACTTACGACTGTATATAAGGAAACACTGGTTACAAACTGTTTAGTGACGACTGGATCCACTGGGATCTCCGCTCGCGAACACGTAGAAGCCACTAAGTCATTCACAAGATCCCATCATTGGGATTTTGCAAACCCTCGTAGATAGGTGAACAAACTACAAAGCCTTTACCTAATCTCGAAACAACGCATCACAACTGGTTGTCAATCGAACCGCCCAAAACTGAACCTACAGGTTGGTGACAAGCTTGCCTGCCAGTCATCCACATCAACATTCGGATCCATTTCTTTTATGCACGTAATCCTAGTCCCAAAGAGTCACTGGGATAGCACGACCGCTCGGCTCGCGGCGACACGAGCCATTCGGATTCTCGTTTCCGACCCGAGCGGCGAAGGGAGTCGTCGTGGAGCAACCTTGGCTCGCGGAGGAAGGCCCGAAACTGTTCCACTGATGGCTTGTAGGCAGCATGTGCCGGAGAGTCGTGCCCACTGAATTAGGTTAACTAAGATCAAAATCTTGCATGACACATCATGACACATTGTTTCAATGTTCACAACATGATGATCTGGAACCACCCGAAATCACCCCAACAATCTGTCGCACAACTGTGTGGTACTGCACAGGCCAGAATTTGTACAGAAACCACACTGGCTAAGTGGTTCTTCATGTTTTTCATTCAGTAGTTGAAAGGGGGGTCCACCATTTCATTGAACTACAACAATGCAGTGCACTTACAGTCAGGTGAAATACTTGAGGAGATGGGGGTGGACGAAAGGTAGCATGTCTGCGGCTGCTGCTGCTGCTGGTTGCTTAGTCGTTGCTGCTGCCACTGGTGCCACTGCTGCTGCTTTCTGCTTTGCTGTGCTGCAACCGCTGATTTGATGTTGCTGCTGCTGCTGCCGCCGCCACTGCTGCCGCTGCCGCTGCCGCCGCCGCCGCTGCTGCTGGTTGCTGCTGCTGCTGCTCCTGCTGGTTGCTGCTCCTGCTGGTTGCTGCTGCTGTTTGGCTGTTGCTGTTGCTGCTGCTACTTCTTGCTGGTTGCTGCTGTTGCTTGAATCCTGAAGCCTGCTGCTGCTTTGCTGTCCCCCCCTCTTTCAATTTCGTCTGCGCAACCCCCAAAAAACTGAACGAAAACCAAGGGTTGTGGAGGCCAAACTTGTGTGAGCTTTGGTGCTTTGCTGCTGCTGCTGTTGCAGTCCTTGCTGCTGCCACTGGTGCCACTGCTGCTGCTTTCTGCTTTGCTGTGCTGCAACTGCTGCTTTGCTGTTGCTGCTGCTGCTGCCGCCGCCACTGCTGCTGCTCGTTTGCTGCTGCTGGTGCTGGTGCTACCTTTTTGCTTTGCTGCTGCTGGTTTGCTGGTTTGCTGCTGCTGCTGGCTGCTTGCTTCAAGCACCGGACCACTTCACCACCCCCAATACATTGTTGCTAAAGCAAAGACAACTCAGGTAGCGTAACCGCTACCTTTCGTGATAACAATCCAGGTCTGCAAAAAACCAGCCTTGGGGACGGAAGTCGGAGGTAGGGAATTCTTGGGATGAGCTTGGAGGAGGGATCAGAAGTTCCTTCTAGATGCAGTTGAATACTCAGGGATGCGATATTCAGCCACAATTTTTTCTGAGGGCCCTGGCACATTGCATGGCTTCCTGGAGCAATTCCTTGGCGGGTTTCCCCGCGGCCGTCGGCGGTGTGGCTGCAGGTGTCTCGGCAAGTCCTGCCGCGGCGCTGGGTCAAATTGGGCCACAAAGAAATGATTTTGGAGAGTTGCGCAGCAATGCGCACTATATGGTGCAAAATCGTGCAAAGGCACGCTGCGTTTACTTTGAAGTTCCCAAATGAAGCATGTAGGTTGTCGTGCTATTTTTGACAGAAACATGGGACGAGCTGCCGGTGGCTCGATCCACGCGCCTGTGTCGCTCGGACGTCGTGCAGGTGACCTCGGGAAACGTTCTGGCCCAATTGGTGCGTCTGAGTCATCTGATTTTGATCCTCGCTGAACTATTTCCGGATTCTTTTGGAGAGTGGATGATCCTATGTAGTGGTTTTGGCTTACTGCATCACAACCTACTGCTTCGACAAAGAAGCAAGTCTGCACATGGAAAAGTCATCAAAAAACACGTCGAGGGCCTTTTGCTCACAACATGACTTGCCGCAAACGACCCCCACGGCGCACCCAACTGTGCAGAAACGCACTTCACCTAGTCAGGCTCAGTCAGCCAACGCCGCCCCAAATTGAAGGTCTAGAAGCCAAACAAAGGGTAGCTTGCAGCCCCAAGACTCTTAGCTCAACCACCATGGCACTTGCTGCGCATCTCCAGGGCACTGAGCCACAAGCGCCGAGGAAGTCTGCACTTCCGCACGTGTAGCACTCGTGCAAGTTTGTGCAGATACTGCTTTGATGACGACCGCGGCCAAGTCAAGGCAAAGCCATGTGCACCACGACTAGCGTAACCTGCTTCCACAGTCAGGTGCTAGGGGCCATAAGTATCCACAACTTAGCGCCATGCAAAGTTGCCAGCTTTGCCTCGACAAAGCATGCCACTGTGCGACACGTCAATAGTTAATAAAGTGACCTGCACTGCGCTTTTCTATCTTATCCGGAAGGCTTGCAACCCAGCAGCCGAGTTGTGCTTCAAGTTCTGCAAAAGCAACTCCGACGTCTTCGCCGTTTTCTGAAAAAACAGCTAATCTATAGACGTTCATGAAGGCCAAATGGACATGTAAATATGTATATACATGCTTTTGGGACAGCGAAGGGCCAAAGGCCCGACAAGTCATTTCAGCATTCCTCTGAGATTTTCTAGCATACAAATCCAGTGGAAAAGTAGTACATGCTGTGGTGCTATTCTGAATTGAATCTTCATTATGGCCAGAAACCACAAGAACTGTTTGCACATAAATTCAAACATCAATAGTGATCATTGGAGAAGGAAGGGATCGCTTCAAGGGTCATATATGGCTGTGGGTCAAAACCTGGTGGCCTTTAGTAATCCATTCTGTTCATTTTCCGTGATCAACCAGGGTTCCCCGGTTTTGCTTCAAAGGTCATAATCACAAATCATGTCTTCTGTTTGCAACTGGCACAGGTCTCCTATTTCTGGCTTCCAAACTTCCGATGAGTGTTTTGGATTCCTTGGGCAACTGCAAAGAGGAGTTTTTTTGTGCCCAGAAAATGTACTGTATCAATAACAAAGCTGAACAAGCTTTTTCGAGGCTGGGCTAGGAATCTGCTATTTTACATCAAGTCATATTATTTGGCTTCATGTTGGAACTAAATGCAGCTTGTTGTCCATGTATGTCTATTCATTGGGCTTGTGGAGATTCCATTCCGTTCATTAAAGCAGCACTCTGAGAAACGTATTACATAGAGCCATTTCAGGTCAAGAGGCAGTGGTATAATAACTACAAAGAATTACATGAGCGATTGTCAAAGTTTGTTGTGGAGTTGCAAATCATCAGGATTTGGTGAGTGTATTATCGTTTTTCACAACCATCACGTTATCGTTTTTGCTGAGTGTGTTTTTGTTTTTTGAGCAAAACATGCACTGACTATTCGTCACTTTCTCTAATTTTGAGCCTAGCTCACATGTCATTGCTTCATGACTCATCTCGTTCCACAGTCATTGACAACAATGGGGATGCACAGCCCTGTCTTGCTGGCATTGGTCACTCTGTTCGGGTCAGCTGGCCCCAAAAACACATTCCTGCTGCGACCGTTGGCTGAGCTTACCAGTACAGGGCTGGAAGGTATGACAGTGAAGGTCTTTCCGGTGAAGCTGTTGGCCCAGGCCACCAAGTTGGTCCGAAAAATCGCCTCGAGCAAAGAACCAAGCAAAGAGCGAAGGTTGTACAACTGCGAAGTAGCGATAGCGAAGGTTGTGCAAAAGTGTACATGCACATCATGTCTGTTTGGCATCTGCTGGCCAAAGACATATGATGAACCACAAGAACGCACTCCCACCAACATGTTTGTTCGCCACCTCGTAGGATAAAGGCCTTTGTGGTTGATCCGTGATTGGTTCACATGCTTTTGGGACCCGATTCCCAAACACAGTGACGGAACCACAAGCCCACTGTGTTCAATAGTGAGCCCCAAATAGATCACATACCACATGATATAAATGAAATTGTTCGATAAATGATACATGTATTAATTTATATATCTATTATATACATATATGAGAGAGAGAGAAAGTGAGAGCGTAGTATCAAGATGTATGTTTTTTTATGTGCCAACCCACTCGGTCACCCCGGCGTGGTGCTCTTCTGCAAGGTCAGGCTGAGTCTCAGTTCCTGTCATGGCAGGGCCACAGCGCCATGCGCTGGGTGCCTAAGGCTCCAACTACCTCGCTTTCGAAGGTGCTTGGGGCCCAGGAACAGGGGTGTCCCTACCTGGATGAGATTGAAGCCCTAGGGTGTAACAGCTCAAAGGACACCGGCAGCAACTGGAGGCAACGAAACACTTTAAGCTGTAAATACTGTGGTTTGCTTCTTCCTTCACCAGTACCACTGACAAAACCATGGCTTTGTGCCAAACAGTGCAGAGGTGGGGGTGGGCCTACACCAGAAATCACCTCTCTTGCAGTCACCTTTAAACATCACTCTTCCACCTGCTTGCCAGTGCTGAGCCCCCTCCCATCCGTGACCGCCCTCACGGCCCTCACGGCCCTCCGGCTCGCTGAAGCTCCTCCAACTCCCGCCGAACCGAGCTCAACTCACTTGCTTGTTGTCCCTGTGCTTGGTGCGCCTGGCACGGAAGGGTGCCCCGCGGTGTACGGAGTTCCGACGCGAGAGTCTTGCAGGAGTTCCGCTGGGGGAGCCTGGAGCAGTGGCTGCAGACTTGGGACATGAGGCCTGCACGGATCAAAAAGTGAAGATGCAGTCGTTTACCTCTCTTAGTGGTGTGCAACCCTACACTCTTGTTGGGCAAAATGCAAATCGGTCTGCGACTGCTTGTGAACCACATCTAGATTAGATGGCACGCAGGGGCGGGAGGAGTCCTGCCTGAACTGATCCGCACAAATCCCAGTGGTTTCTACGAGTACCACAGGTACCATGGACAGGCCGCCTCTGTTTGAATCAGAAACGGAGCGAACCGAGCAGATTTGGAGGTCAGGTCAGGTCTTTCTTTGTTGAGAGATTTGCTCCCCCCCTGAACAGCACCTCTTCAAACGAAAACACCACACACACACACATCTTTCTCCTTTTGATAGGAACAGGCCATGTTGTGCGGGGGTATATCGTCACTACGCTTTTGAACAGAGCAAACCGTTTGTCAAGCAGCGTGTCAAAGCAGTCGGTCAAAGCACAAGGAACACAAAGAGTTGAGGGGGGTTGAAGGATCTTCGCGTTGCTAATGCAAAGTTCTGCCGCTTGGTGGGTCAAAAGAGTGAAACACTTCAAACGCGTTTATTTTCCTTTAACTTGGGACCTTCGCTGGTCCAACTCCTCGCTTTGACCACAAGGCAAGCAAAATGACCTAGGCTTTTGAAGAATGAATGGGGCTAGCGGCTAGAGGTGGGTTCAAAATGGTTCAAACATGTTCAAGGCCTGCATGGATTCCAATAAGTCAAACTATATACATATACCTCAAATGCTTCTGCAAATGACTCCAAAGGAACGCCGTGCGGAGACACAACAATCAAGCCCTACATTCCCAGGTCCAGGTCCGACCCAGGTCCAAACCTCCTGAAAAACGCATGTTGGTCGTTCGTCGTGTTTCTATATTTTTGCGGTGCCAACTGACCTTAAATGGCAGGGTTGAACAAACCAACTGACTCTATTAGGGAGAGACCAACTGTTTCTCCTTAATAGAGTCTGACCAACTGACCGTCCACCGATAGCTCCAGGCGGCGCTCAGCGAGCGAGCCAAACGACGTGACGACACCGGTGACGACATGGAGAGCTGGTGAGCTGGTGAGCAAAACGAATTCCGGTGAGCTGGTGAGCTGTTCCGACATCCAGGTGAGAATTTCAGGTGATTTTATATCAATCTTGATATGTTATGATATGATATCATGGTATGAATTCCATGGTTGTATGACAATGACAAGCCTATCAAACAAATGCTGAACAATTGGGCTGAAGCCACTTGAAGTCTGTGAAGGCATTTGTTGTGGGGCCCTCCGGCCCTCCCCTGCAGGCTACCCCAGGCGATGCGTTCGACGGTCTGCCAACTTAAGTTGGCGGCATCGCCAAAAGATGCCCACCAAAGCGCTTGTTGGTAGGGAAAAGCGGGTGGAGAGCAATGCAACAAAGGCAGCAGCAGTATCAAAGGAATGATCAAAGGATTGGCATCCCTTTCAGACCGCAAGGACGTGCGACGTGCCTTGGCCAGCTCAGCTTGGAGATGAGGAAGCTGCTGCAGGAGTGCAGCCTTAGTGCAGGAACTGAGTGAGACAAACCAATAGCACATGCAGGAGCAATAGAGAACAACAACATGGCGTGCATATATGGAGTTTATATGTGAACCTTCACCAAAATTGGCACACTCTCCATGCCTGTACGGGTTTTTAATGAAGCACCTGACACTTGCAATGTCCAATACCCTAGTTTGGGTCGTGTGGGAGTTCGTGACCTACAACCAAGAATCCCACAGACTTACAGCCAGGCACTGTTTCATACTTTATTTACAAGGGTGTGCCCATCCGCCATTGGCCCGATCCCTCGGTATCCTTCGGTCCCTCAAAACGGATTGGAGACAGAAAAGGGAAACACACCAGTCACCGTTTTTCCAGTTGACTGATGGGGCGGCAACCAGAGTCACATTCTGAAATACATTTTTGTGCCATAGCCGCCGTGGCTCATAAACTTGGTATCGCCCCCTGTGGATCCACTATAACCACAAGTAGACAACCCGTGGTTCCAAAGGAGCAACACTGTAGACCTGGAATCCCTGGTGCCTTAACTCATTTAGAGAGGTTTCTGGGATCCACTGTTGGTTCTGGGATCCACTCATGCGCCATGCTCTTCACCATTCTCTGCATTCCCAGCAGCTACATTGCTGGGCATAGCTTCAGCGGTTGCACCTGAGCGGTTGTCACAGCAGCGGTCCCTTTGGAGGAAAACACATCCCTTGACCCAACAGAACCCATCGATGTCTGCGACAGGGCTCCAAATTGGATACTAATACTTTGGACTCCTGCAGCTCTCTCTCTCTCTCTCTCCCTTTTTGTAGGCACCCAACTTTAGTATACGCCTACGCCTCTTCACTTCGGAAACTAGCGGAAAGGATCAAGGCTCGGCTCGAGTTCTTGTTTTCACCCACCACCGACCCCTCAGCAATCCAATCAACCTGCGCGCTTCCAGTAATCAGTAATCGAACTCTTTGAATCTAAATTAATAGCTTTTTTGTTACTACTAGTAAGGCACTTGTTACTACTAGCGTGGCACCTGTTACTAGATGAATAGTCAAAATAAGAACAACTTCAGACTTCAGCCGCCGCTGTACCAGGCCTTCGTGGGTTTTCGGCCACAGCGTCCAAACGGGTCCGTCCGTGACTTTCTCGGGCACCCGGCTCTCACGGGTGCCGTGCGGGGCACTCAAGGTCCTTGGAAGTGTCTGGCAAAAAGGCAAAAGCCAACAGCCAAACAGACCCGGAAACTGGTCCCTACCATCAAATACGCCAAGATCAGTGCCATAGTTTGCCAGAAACATGGGAGCTCCACCCAGATTTTAAAAAAGAAAACACTTGGGATAATGAACCCCTGGGATCCACGTAGAGCTCCCAGAAAAACCTGAGGCCCATGACGTCGTCAGAGACGCTTCCGGACATGGAATCGCCTCGCCCACCGGCGGACATCGCGTGCGTGCGCAGGATGGAGCGAAAGCGGAAACGGGTTTTAGAGGTCGGTGAATTTGTCGTCTTCCAATGTCTTCCATGGTGTCTTCTTTTCCAGCTTCCATTTCAAAAACATGACCATTGTTAGTCTATCACCATGCGGATCTATTTTGCTTTGTTACCTAAGAAGTACTCTTATCAGACAGCCCCTCCCCGCAACAAGCCTTTTTTCAGTGGACGTCCTGGCCCCTGGAAAGACCATGAAATCCTCTATAAGTCTACGGGTGTTTGTCAACTTCCATGTTTGTTGCAGGGAGGGTCATCAGGCCTATCTGGGCTCCTCCGGTGCCACGCGGCTATCCGGTTATAGCGGGTGCTCGGTGCGCCATGGTGGTCACATCGGTGTGTGCTTGAAAACGGCCCCTATAGCCTAAGGCCTAGAGGTACACGAGTAGTAAAGCCCCCCAAAAGGATAGCTGCGTGTCCTATTGGAACACCGATGAAGGGAGGTCTCCCTATTGGAGCTACACGCTCATGTCATTTTTCCCACAGCTTCTTCCAACACTGGACTCACTGGATTCAACATTGCTGGAACAGGGAGAATTGCATGGGCCAATCTGGCTCTTCCAGTGTGAGAACTGGGAGACCTGCACATGAACAGGGTCCATCCGTTTTTCCTGATCTCCCCCAGTGCCCGCCCTGGGAGTGTTCTCCCGTGAGTGCCGCAAAGGACTACCTGGCAAGATTGCTGGACCGTCCGAAGCTGAGACTGCAAAGGGAAAAAAGAAGACCACAGGTGGAGAAAACACATAATATGGAAAGCATCGCCCGGTGCTTCCAATTCCCTACGAAGAGTAAGAGCTTCATACTCCCTTCGGACGATCTTCGTACATCGAAGAAAACAAATCCCATCCAAGTTCAAAGGGATTCTTGATGTCTACAGACCGCTGCTAGAAATATGTACGGAACAGTTTCAGTACAAGATTGGGCAGCATGTTTTTTTTCCTGCGAATTCGCAAATGATTCAGAAATACAACGAATAACAAGTTCACATTCTGCAGCATTCATGGTCACGCCACAAGATGTTGATATCCTAAGACAGAATACCCTACACAATTCCACATAATGTTCACTTGAAAGGTCAAACATGGACATGTAAATCATGTAACACGTTTCGGAGTTTTGTTTGGTTGAAAACTTGCCAGGACCCTCCAAATCGTCTTCCAATATCAATATCCAAATTTCTTTGCGTACTCTGGACCCTCCAAGTTTAGCTCCTGATCCTAGGCAATCTCTATATATTCACTTCACATACGAGGTCAACAGTCCGCCAAGACCTTCAAGTTTAAAGGTGTTGTGTCCGTTGTTCTTGAAGTGTTTCCAGCCATCCTGATCTGTTGCATCGAGCAGAACGATTATATGACCAGCCCGCATCGCCGGGGCGGTTGCACACAAAGGTTTGATATTTGTTGACTAAAAACATCAAACGCCGCCTGAGATCATTCAGGGAAGCCCCAGTATAGTATAGGGTGTTGTGGGCACTGTGGGTTGGCAAACTATAATTTGATTTTCAACAGGTAGGCAATTTTTTCGTTATGCAGCTACAGAGCGGTTCAAATTTCACAACCGGTGGCCATGAGACATCATGCAAAAAAGGTGTTCAGCCATCCTTGAGCGATAAAAGCCCTTGAGCTCTGGGTGCATGACAATGTTACAACACCAGGGGTACTAAGTTGTGAACAGTAGTCATTCTGTTGCTTTTGACTAGTACCTGATGTCATCTTGTCTGGTGTTCTTCTCTGCCAGTATTTTAGAACAAACAAACTGTTTACATGATGTTGAATGCTCAATGTCTTGCATGTCTCCTTGCCCTCCTGAAAACACCCGCCAAATCCGCGGGATTTTTCGGCACTGCGGGCCCCAGGCGCCTGCATAGGAGCTCCGAGGTGTATCCCTGGTCGATGTAATCACCGGAATGTGGTCTCGCGCCTGTCGCAGGTGAGCAACGGGGCAACAAAGATCTGTTTGCTCACCCTGGAGCTTCCAGCTTGTACACTCTAATTGACATGATGAAAGAAACAACGCTAGAAGCGAGGCACATGGAGGGTCCCCAATGGTCTCAATGGAGGGTCTCCAGGCTGGCACTTGCACTCGGGGAATAGACATGAATAGACTGTTGTGGAAAAATCCTAGTAGCAAGAAGCTACCAGTAGCAGGGGCATCGCTACTAGCAACAAGTCCATCGCTACTAGGAACAAGGGCATTAATTACTACTAGTAACAAGAAGCTACTAGTAACAAGGTGCCTTGGTACTGGTAGCAAGAAGCTACTAGTAGCTGAGTGCATTGGTACGAGTAGCTGAGTGCAGTCCAAAGGAGCGGCCATTTTCGCGGCTGTACGCGAAGGGCATTGGCCCAGCTGTACTCGAGAGCCAAGAAACCCTGGCCGACACGTCTGGCCCTCACGTTGGAGTGCCCATGGCCAAAGGTGAACCGCACTGGCTGCACTCACAGGTTGAGCTACCCTAAGCTGTTAACACTTGCATACTTCGCTGTCAACACTTGCATGTGTTTGGATGAAAAACACCTGATCAATGATCAACACTCCATTTGCCACTACAGCCATAGGGAGTCAGTGCAACAACAGCAACTCTCTATACATATCTAGTGTTCCACTCAGCCATCCGACTCTTGGGGTTGCTACCCGCGTCGGCCACTCAGCCCAGGAGTTGTCTACCTGCAGCGGTGGCGCTGGGCCTGGCATCGGTGGCCATCCGATGTGCAGGAGCCAGCTTGAATGAAGTAGATAAAATACAATCAATTAGATACCCAAGCCCAAGCCCTCGCAGGTATATCCCATCAATGACCAGTAACAATGGATGATGATCATGATGGTGTAGTCAATGCCTTTCCCAACAGGCATACTAATCCGCAGAAAAACATATTGACTGGTACCTCAAAAACTATGGAAAACAGTGCCTCGGTGCGACCTTAATTCAACGTTCATCTAGTTTGTGAGAGAAAAACATGATCCGGATCTGCAAAACAGTTTGGAAGACATACGTTGCCAGCGCGGACATCCGTGCAGCACGATACGTGTTGACTTTTGGCACCAAATACGACCCAGATCTGCACATCATCCACCAGAACGCACCAAAAGACCCCACACCCAGCTGGCCCGGGATGGCATGCCGATGACCAAGACCTCGACCCCGCAGCATGGCCACGATGGTTGCTGTGGTTCAACACAGTTTTTCATATTCACTCTGGCCCCGAGTCGACTCTCCAATTCATGTTCGGCAGCTGCAAAAGAAAGAGATCAGTACTAGCACAACGTCAAGACGTTGTAGGACTCCCATTGTGCACGGTCGATTCCTTGCTGGGTGCCATACATGGAAGTTTTGAGCTACCCAGGATAATCGTTATAGTAACTTTATGTAACTTTACTACTCCCCCAGGATCATCTACTAACATCGAAAAACATGACCTCTTTCCCAGGGAACTCCTATACTACAGTCAACAAAAAACAACGTTCACCCAGTTCACCACGGTGTCTTCTCACTCCGTCCATGCCCTACGGCCGATATCCACGCTGCCCGGAACGGCGCAGTTCGCGTCCGCCGCGCCGGAGATGCTGCGTGGCTGCAATCACCGCGAAGCCCAGGACCCCGAAGCAACAAATGCCTTCCGTCAGGCTGTCCCGCCAGGTGCGGAAAGCGAGTGGGGTGGACGAAACAGCGGAGATGGAAACGAAGGCAAGAATATGGCAAGTATGAGCGGAAGTGTCCAAGCTTCAAGTCGGAATAGTTAGTCATTCTCATCATAAATCCAACATAATTAACCAAAAGCGTTGATGAAGAGAACCTCTGCCTTGTTGAATTTGGTTCAAATAAATTCATAAATTCAACTACCTCCTGAGAAGTACGTGCTTGGGTGGGCCAGCTACCTTCTGAGGAAGCACTTGGAGTCCTAGGGACAATACCAAGCACGACGGGTGTGCTAGTCTTGGATGCCCCAGATTCCCAGGACAACACTACACGAGATATATTTAATATATACAGTGGTTTCAGAGTAGATGGCACAATCCCCAAAAGGTGGTTTATATGGACCCCCATCTAAATTAAACAACATCTAGGGTTTGTGCCATCTACTCTGAAACCACTGTAAACGAATAATATGTAATGGTCCCTCCAAGATCTGCTGTAAGATCTTTAAGACACTTCTTGTGACAGGAACCCTCCAAGTAGATCCAGCATCCAACAAAAAGAACAACCGTGAGCTGCATGACTTACTTTGCATTTCCAGGGAGGCAATACAAATGCAATTGCTCAAATCCTGTGCGACCTTCATCAAGCCCACACATGTCCAAAACTCCAACTCCTCAGCCAGGCGCACCTGCCACTGGGCTCCCAGAGAAGTCGGAGATCCACACGCTCAGGCGCACACAGACGGCCGCAAAGGCTAAGGCACTCAGCAACACCGGGAAGCTGCGCTGGAGCTTGAAGCCCAAAGCTCCTTGAAGTTTCCAAGAGATCCAAAGCACCAATGAGTGTTTTTTGAAGCTATGAAAGATTCAATCCATTAAAGGCCATCTCTTGCTTGCAGGGTTCTTCAATAGTTGTCAGAAACCTGGCATTTCCATGACACCATAATTGGCACGTCTCATGAGTCCACTTCAAACCATCGCTTCGGAACCGAGGCCCCCAGTCTGAACGTGACGACGTGTCGTCTTTCCAAGTGTCCGATGAGACAGTGCACCATCGCATAGGGTGCCCACCCAGTGAGTTCCATTCCAGGATGTGCGATCGCAAACGTCGCTAACCTCCGGCGGATGGACCAAGGGCATCACGCCCGGAGCGGACCAAGGGATAGTTCCTTTGACTGGGATAGTTTGTGGCAGGGGTTCTTCTGTAGCAACTGAACATCCCTTGAGGCCCTATATAAAGTATATGCTGCAACATCAACCTTGGCCTGGAGGATGGCATATCTGTTCCTGCAAACCAGTTTTTGCCAACTCCTCCTCACTCCAAGAAAAAGACACCGACCCACTGGCCCCGGCGTCCCAAGGCACATGCCCGAAGCGCCGGCACCCATTCCTAGGACCCCAATATTCAGGCTCCACGTGACCAGCTCCTGAGATGGACCAAGCGTGGTAAGCGTGTCTCTGGTTCTATGAAGTGGTTGTGGCTCAAGTTGGGAACATATCTTCTGTGATATCGATAAATATACTATGATTATATATGGTATATTTATAACTTATACAGTAACTATTTGTTGTTTTTACAGAAATCATGGTGCCCCCCAGCTTCTTCAATCTTTTGATTGACTTTTTGACCTCAAACAAGGGGATGAACAAGTCACTTGGAAGAACCAGGTATATACCATATTGTATAATCCGCCGACCCCACACCGTGGGGTGAGGCGTGACTGTCGATGTTAGCCTTACTTAAATAATCTGTTTTTTTATAACTTGTTAAGTAGAGTTAACCAAATTATCAAAAAGTTATTAACAAGTTATAACTAGTTAGCAAGAGTTAACATGTTACTTTTTAAAGGTCATATGGTAAAGAAAATAAGCTTTGAAAAATAAAAAAGATAGTAACCAGCTGCTTGATTTTAGCTGGTGGCTCTTATTTACATCGAATAAAATCACATGGTTTTGAAAAATGTTTCTTTTGATGGAAATGCCACATGGCAAGCCTTTTAATTGTTCATATCAAAATGTTCCAATAAACTATACCAACACACCCTACATGAACACTTTTGCTGGGTTTGATAAAATGCCAAGCCAGGCGACTATTGCATTGCCACTGTTCATGCATTCACTGGCTTGATGAAATGCCATAGAGCCAATTTTGGTGCTTCTTAGAAAGACAAAACCTGCCAACGCATGGATTGGATGCTTTTCTTCAGCATTTGGGAATAGATTGGGTAAGGCAGAAGCACTTTGGCTGTGCCTGTGCTTTTGTGGCAAATCACAGGCACAATGATGTCTGCTGTAGGTACAAATCCCAAGTTGTGGTCCAGCACTTGGCAAATTGCACATTGCTTATGTGGTAGCCATTCTTTGACCAGCCAAGACTTCACCAAGGTAGTGGCAACATCATGCAATAGGAAATGCAATTGGATTTCTGCAATCCCCATGGACTCACCTGCCTGGTATATCACAGTGTCATCCTTGAAGCAGCTCATATGGTTCACTTTGGCACACTGGCTGCTCTGGGCCTCTCCAATTGGCTCACCAATCAAATTGGATAAAGTTTGTAAACTTTTCTTGGAAGCTGAGATGGGGTCGACCAAATGCACACCATCTTTGAACAACTGTGGCTGGTCCAAGTGGCAGATCTCCTTGGCAAGAGCTTGCTCCAAGAGATTGGTTTCAAAATTCTTCTTGTTTAGCAAACTAGTGGCCAATTGGCCGATTGGCTTGTGCTTTCTTTCATTGGCAAAGCATGATGGGAGGAAGCCAACTCTTTGGTGTGTATCTGGCATGTGGAGCAGCCAATGCCATTTCTTTATCAATGACACTTCTGGGAAGGCAGCCTGGAAGCACTGGACCCATGGCACCTCCATCACACTGGTTCAAAAGGAACCTTCTGGCATCTCTTTGCTCTTTTGGAGAGCTGTAATCAGGTAAGCCGGTCTTCTTGGCTTCTGCAATCATAGCATGCAAGCTGGTTTGGCTATGGTGTGGCAAATTGGCCTTGAACTGTTGGAGTTTGGCCAGCTTCTGAGGCCTGGAAGAGGAAGCAGCCATGGTTACAGAAGAGCAAAAAAAGGGTGTGAAAGCAAGGGTGTTGTCCTTCTATCAGTTAAGGGTGCTGTCCCTCTTGCAAGAAGACTGGTTGACCATGTAAATATACATATACCTTGCACATGCTTGCACATTGCATATATTGGAATTGGTGCTGAAGGATGCACATTGTGGAACTTGGCAAGAGCCAAACTCAAAAGGTTGCTACAATGCACAAAGCCAAAAGCATTTATGGA